CTATAGCACATAGTTGACATACAAACTGGCCGATCAAAATCAAGTTCATTTATGCAAACTTTTTATATGCGAAGTTAACGTTTTTCTTGTGAATTGTTGTTTGAGTTCTACTAGAGCAAATTTTTTATAGCTGGATCCATTTGATGTAGATTGTGTTTGCTCAGAGTTTGCTTTTAGTTCAATAATTATTCTTTTTACTTAATGGGTCTTCATTCGGATCGGTTTTTACAAAATCACTTTAGATTAATATTGTATTCGGCTTAATAATTCCATTCCATTTTATAGTCAAAGACGGGACTTTAAAAGTAATTTTTGTTACCATTTATTGTTGCAAATACACAAGTATATACTCATATTATTTTCACAGAATAGGTGCCAACATTGTGCCTCATATTTAGAAAAGCACTTATTGCATTTCAAGTCTTTTATATTTTTTTATATCTATACATATTTTCAAACATTCATATATTGCATAAAACGGTTGGCAACCCTGCTTCTATTAAATACGTAGAAAATACTAAGATTTATTCACTTTAAAATGTTTGCAACAGTTATTCACCACTGTTAATTTGGAAGTAATTATTAATTTTTAATTTAAAATAAGTGGCAACTCGATAAAATTATATAAAAGATATTTTATTTCAAAACATTTGTTGGATATTGTAATATTTTAAAATAGATATACATATAAATAGTATATATTATTTATAATTTTTAATTGTATAAATATAAACATGTGGCAACTAATTTTTTTAAACCCTTTTCAGTTAAAATATTTCTCATTTCTTTGGACTTAAACAAGTTTTGTTTGCATAAATATAAACATATGGCAACGCCGTTTTTTAAAGACCTTTTCAATTGAAATAAGTTTCTAAAGGCCTCGCAAAATCAAATACTCAACCACTAATATAATTACATTTACATTAATTTTACATATTTTATAAAATTGTTTTTTTTTTTTGTATCTCTGTTGATTTTGCATCGACATTGTGTCGCATTTCCTTGTGTTCACTAGATGAAACCGCCCACTCTGAAAATATTCAATTTGCCTTTACTACAAATGAGCAATTTACTAAACAGCACTTCATTATCAGCATAACAGTAGCAACAAAAAAATGCTGCTACAATGTGTCTCAGGTGCAAAACAATATTATTTAAATAGTACAACAACAACAACAACACAGTTGAACAGCGAAAAGAGAAATAAGAAAGTGAGTGAACAAATTAACGAAAATTGCCAAAACAGCGTAAACTTAAATGGTTTATTTGTGTTTGTATATGTATGTATGTATGTATTTGTTTGTACATACATATATAAAACCTACATAAGAAATGCTCGCGCAAACGACGCTGAAGGGTGTTGGAAGGCAGCGGCAAGCTTGGTGATGCTGACTGCGCTCGCTGCCGCCGTCGCCGCTGCGAAATGTAATTGTAGTCGTAACCACTCAGCGGTGCGACGCTTCGTTGTTGCAATATTCATTTTTTAACTTTTTTCGATTTTTGTATAACTGCCAACTGTTGCTGTTATTGTTGTGTGTTGTATTTGCTGCTGACGGGTCAGTGGAGACGCGAAAGCTTCTGATGAAGGGCTCAGTTTGCCCAATACCCATATGATTTTCTGTTTACGTCAGTAGTTATGTGTTGATGTAAGCCAGCATGCACACAGGTTTTTTACAATGTATTGCATGCAACTTCAGCTTACACATAATCATACATGCATACTCGTATGTGAGTGAGTTTTGACCACATTCTTTGCTCTCCAAAGCCGCAGATGCTTTGTCAGCACGGGCTACACGCTATGCAACTTACAATTACCGCTGAATGGGTTGCTGTATTGCCGTGTTGGTGGCTTTGTTGTTTTGGCGGAGTTGGTGTTGCTGAGGTGCTGCTTTTGTGTTTCAAGCGATGACGTCGCGCAAATTCGTCAAGCACCATTTCGTATGCATGCATATGTACATGCAGACATGTATATATATGTATGTGTAAACAAAAAGTTATTTGCATATGTATGTGTGCCAAACATGTGTATGCATATGTGTCAAATACATATGTATGTATCTATATGTATACAATGCGCGATTGTGTGTTTGGTGGCAGCTACACACGCGCAGTCTAACACACTCATAGCTGTTTGGGAGTGTTTGTCAAGTGCCGCAGCTGATGAAGGGTCTGACTTTGAGACATATTTATTGTGGTGTAAAATTTTGAGTTTTTACGTTTTTGTTAAAGAAATTGAATGACATAAGATTTTATTGGTAGAAATGGTACAAACAATTTTTATACTTTTGCAACATGTTGCCACAGAGTATAATATTTTTGTTCACCTAACGGTTGTTTGTATCACCTAAAAATAAACGAGTGAGATATAGGTTTGTATATAATATATATATATTTGTATATCAAAATGATCAGGATAAGGACACGAGTTGAAATCCGAGTGACTGTCTGTTTGTCCTTCTGTCCGTCCGTGAAGCGATAACTTGAGTAAAAACTGAGATACACGTGTTCCTTGGCAAAAAAATGCCACACAAGCAAAACGCCATTATTCGAAAACCGATAAATTTCCATAACCTAGCCATAAATTAAGATACAAATAATAAAATAAATAATAATAATGTTCAAAAGTGGGCGTGGCCTCGGCTTCTGGTAGGTTTAATGTATATATCTCCCAAGTTTCAAGTTATATCACCCAAATTTTCACAGTACATATCAGTTCGATATCTCTTGGGACAGCATTTTACACCCAGGATGATGCAAAATTGGACGGTGGGCGTAGCATCGCCCATATTTAGGTGAAATCACATATGTATATCCGAACCTACTCCAACAAATTCAACCCTATTTTGCACTTAAGATTATTTTGATATTTCCATGTAACAGTACGAAAATGGACAATAACCACACCTACTTCCCATATAACACAACTTTACATTCACTTTCCAGTCCCCGTGTACCTAATACAAAGATTTTCAAACTTCCAGTTGACTTTATACCACATACTTGTACATATATCGGCCAATGTTCTGGTTATGTTAATGAAATTGAGAAAGGTGTTTTTATATTATATAAAATTGCTTGAAAATAAGTTCTTAAGTATACCTCAGCAATGACAAAAATTTATGCAATCAGTCCTTCCATTTTTATGCCCCGAATGATATTAGTATAATTTTCGCTGTCAAGAAGTAATATATAGTAATAAAACTAAGTGAATTTATGATCTTTAAAATAATTTAATATGATACCAAATGTGATTGTAATCCACCATTTCGTCGAACAATGAAGTTAAACCTTTTCGCTACATCTCTTAATATAAAGTTTTGCCAACAGCTTGGATGCTTGTTAGTTGCGTGAGTATGAGTGAGCGGTTACACCCGATCTTTGTTCTTCCTTACTTGTTCTAATATAAAATATTTTCCTGTTCAAGATCTCTACTGCAATTGATAAAGGTCAAAAAAGGGCAAATATCCATGGAGACTAAGAGATACATGTTTTTATTTCCTGATCCACGAAGCTTAGAGATCACATTTTGGGCCTAAAAGGTATTGTATTTTTCTTGACTTTTATAGGTCAGTTTGTAACTCAGCTATTTTTTAATACGATTTGAACCATATGTTCAGAGATTTTAGCGTTGGCTTGAACAATAATCTATGCCAAATTTCGTGAAGATATTTTCCAATATTTCATAAACTGAGAGACGAGTCGGAAATGTGTATTTTGTGTAACAACTTGAAAAACTGGATGTGCTAGAATACAATATGACAGGGTTTTGGTGACAATTTTTGTTAATTTCTTTAGCTTCCGTACTATGATAGGTGTTGCCTCTATTGAGGAAAATTATATTATTCCCGCTCAAGAAATATGATAATCGTCTTAAATGCCTTTAGTACATATGGTTAAAATCATCATACTTGTTGCCTGGTCATAGCGGAATCGGGAGGGGTACTATAGCCCAGCTCACATCCGAATGGGATCGAGTTTAATCTCCATTGGCATGTTTTGGTTCTAGCACTGGACCAATGGTTCTCGCATGCGCTTAGCATATCTATCTAATCTAATCTATATCTAAGTTCATCTTGCTGCAATCATAAGGGTTCTTACTGAACATTGTCCAGTAGGCATTCATGCGATTAGGCTTGTGCCAAACACTTTCTCCTCCCTTGTCCAGTATTTGCAAGACTGAGGTTAAAACATCTCGGCAGTCTTACCTTCGGCGAACCAGGAGACATATTCGAAACTGACATTAGCCGTCTCAACAAATTGGTTGTAGGTTCAAAGCGCTTTGTCGATTGTTAAGGGTCTTATGGTGAATTATATAGGAGGTTTAATATTAGGTCTAATATAGCCTGATATACATATGTATATAGTTCAGTTCAGACCAATGTAAAATATGTTTTTCAAAAAAAGCACAAGTTCGTACTTGCAGGAGGCTTTGATGTTTTTTATTTTATTTATTTTTTTTGAGAAAGTTGCGCAATCCCGGAAATTATTAGTATTCTATGTTGACCAATGCTGGTGCAACATCATCAGATATATGTAATTCATCCTTCGCGGTTTAAAAAGAATGTGACCATTCAAGCCAAATTGTCTTAAATCACCAATAGTTTTTATAAATATTGTTTATTTGATCTCTAAAACTTTGAGTCCGCATTCAAAATTTATTTCTCAGTCGACCCGAATCCACAAACCACCCATATCTGTAAACTAATGAATAAATGAACTCACACACATAGAGTTATGTATGTACATATGTATGTGTATATGCTTTGTTAGTATGTACGTGCGTTTGTAGTGCCAAAGTTTTTCAGAAGTGTGCATAGATACACACACACATGCATATGTGTCTGTGAACACCTTAACAACAACACAAATGCTTGTGAGTATGTATGTATGTGCTACCACACGGCAGATGCTGCTCGTTTTTGTTGTCACCGACTGCTACTGTGCCGCCGCCATTGCCACCGCACCGGCCAACAACTGTACATACGACCGACTGACTGCCCTCTGCTGACACTTGTTACCGTGTTATAGTTTTTGCTGTTCGGCTGTTGTTGCTGCTGCTGTTGTGCTTTTTTGCAGCCAAACGGTACACGCTGCGCCGATTTGTTGCGCCGCTGCTGGCCATTGGCGTGTGCGTTGGTGTGAGTGCGCCCATATGTATGTTGCCTAGGAAGCAGAATCTCAACGTTGCGGCTGTAATCCAATAGATACGAAACTTTTGACTTGACCGAGTTCATTTGTCTTCGGAACGGCGGCGTGTAAAGATCGTCAGAAGTTTGGTGCCGATGAGTAAAACAGGAGTGTAAAAACTCTGAAAAGTTTTTATTCACAAATATTCAGTTTGTAGCGCAGCTTTCGAGTTGTAGACATTCAAAAAAAGTAAGAGCTTTGCTACGAAGTAGTAAACAGCGACGAACTTGAAAGAATTTGAAGCGAACAATATTGAAAAGTTAAGCGAATTTGTGGAAAACAGTGTGCCGTTCCGAGTTTTTCGAAAACAAATTGAATTAAGTGCATTTTGGTATGTGTTTTTGTGCGTAACTCTATGTTTAAAAACTTTTGTCAACAGTTAGACAAAGCGACAACAAGTTGCTAAAGTGCTTAGAAAAATCTCACTAAAATCAAAAACAAAAAAAGAACAAGAAAATAATTAATAAAAATATTTAACAGCAGCAGTGTGCTCAGAAAATACAAACTTTCATTCCCACAACCGTTACGGAAACTTTATGATTTTTTCCCTTAAAAAAAAAACAAAAGATATTAAAAAATTTTAAAAGTAATTTAAACAGTGTTAAAGCACTAACTGGGCAACAAAGCAAAGAAAACACTAAATAAATATACAAACAACCCATGCAAACACAAGAAATAAAAAAAAAATAAAAATAAAAGTATTGTAAAACTTTCTTTTTTTCCCTTCCTTGTCTTAATAAATGTTTACTTAAATTCGTTTCTAAAGCGAATATCTTAATTCATTTATTATAACAACTCTCTCACACACTCACACTGACTTTTAACTAGAAATGGGTCACCAAGCGACTTCCTCGAGTCACGTTGACAGCACCGCAACGCTGCTTAACGATGGAGCTGAGCTAAAAAAGCGCATCAATGGCACAGCAAACGGCATAAACGAAGCTAAAGTAGCTTCTACCGATGCTGCTGCGCTAGCCGGAGAGGCGCCACCGACAACCAATCCACTGAAGAAGATCGGTCTCTATGAGCCCGTTTACCACGTCAATCTGGAGGAGTATACACGCACCTTTAAGGGTGACAAAGTGTTTGGCGTCGAATTCAAAGCGCCACTCAAATGGGATAAAGTCATACAAATATTTCTGGTGCACATTGTGTGCATTTTGTGTTTCATCGTTTTTCCTTTGGAAAAGCTGAGATTGTACACCACATTATGGGGTAAGTGAGCAAAAGTCGTTTAATGACAAGAGCAATATGAAAATATTGAAATTAGAGCTCGAAAGTATGTGTGTATTAGATAACATGTAAGTTTTAAAGTAAAAACTAATTTTAATTTTTTTTCGAAAACGTTTATTATTTGCATATTTTTTATGGCTTGTATAAATATATACGAGTACATACATATATTAAAAGAAAAAGTTACTACCTTTTACTATACATTTTGTAATTTTCATTTTCGAAAACGGTTTATGAATTTTCCAATTCATTCATATTTTTTATTGCATATATAAATATGTAGATACATGAATAGAAAAAATATTTTAAAGCTACTTTAATTTATCAGCGGTTTTCAAAAAGTTTATTTCAAAACATTGTACCGTTATGTTTTTCGCTGCACGGTCTTAGTCTCGCTTTAAGTTGGTGTCACAATTTTCTATTTGTTTTGTAAGTGTTTAAACGTCGTTTTCAACTCCGCTTTGTGCACATATTGTCATCCATTTATACAGTTAGAATTATTGTGCTATCTCATCTTAGATTACAACAGCGTTTTTTTCTTTTTATTGTAACGAAATCGTTACAAGGGCGCCATTCGACTCATTAGGGTTTAATTCGATTATTTTTGTTTTTTTTTTGCACATTTCAGTTATACCATAAATATAGCTGATTTGCAGATTTTGAAACGAATAACGTAGCATGACAGTCATAATGTATAATTTTATTGTTATGTTAGAGTAGAGAAGTTGATCGTAATGGAAATATAGATAGTTAAGTATCTTGTTTTCGAAGTTGTATTGTTAAAAAAATGTTTTGTCAGAAATATTGTGAAAGTAAGCAAAATCAGATACCCATTGTCAAATAAACTTTCAAACGATAATTTTCACGCTATTAGAATTAGAAAATTTTAACTTTTGATAACTCTTACCAAGGAATTGTTTCTGTTTTGTAACTATAGAGAGTTATAACTTTTGTAAGAACAAAAACCAAACAATAAAACACGTTAGCTAAGAATACCTTCCACAAATAATAAAATTTTAATTTGGACCATTTGAAAATTTAATTTAAATTTGTAACTTTTATTTTTTTTAGTTTTGACATTCGAAAACTTTTTGGTCCAAGAACTATAAAAGGATTTTTTACTTATACTTTAAAATTGTATATCGTTAAATTAATTACCATAGAAGATGCTATTTTTTGTGCATATATTTTTTGATTCCGTATTACTTTCAGTAAATTTTTTTTTTTTTTTTACAATTCATTCAATTTTGCATTGAATATTCAAAACGTTTTCTTTGAGCCTGAGTATACTTAAATTATTATATTCATTGACTAACGCATTAAAAGCTTTGGCATTAAACGTAATAATCTCTCAATAATAATGAAAAAAATTTTGTTGGCTATTAACCATTTGACCGCATCACGCATGTTTTAAAACGCACTTCTTGCCAACATTAATTTTTGCACGTTTTGCTTTGCTCATTTTCGGCATTTTTTTCAAGTTTGAGCTGCGGCATATAAAACGAATTATTTTTTGGTTTTTCTTTCTATTTAGTTGGCGCTTATGTGTCATAATTATTTGATTGTTGTTTTGGGCGCTTACATAACCACCATTACGATCGTTGAAAGTACCAAAATAAAAGTTTCCGCAATTGTTGAGTTTTTATGCCGCGCTTTTGTATAAGCTCATGTGATTGCCACTTGTCATTTGTCATTTGTCTATTTTGCATGGTTTCCTTTTCGTTTGCATTTAACGGTTTTTAGTTTTTTCGCTTTTCATGCTTTTTGTCAGACTGTTTATGATATTTGCCGCTCAAATGCATGCTGACAGCATAGATTTACAATGGAACATAAATATAGCGGTAATTGCAAATTATCATTAATTTGATGCAGTGATACTATCTGTAAGCGGAACATAAATGTAAGGTTGGATATATAATATTATATTTGCTTATATCCATTTATCCCAGGTATAAAAATACTATGTCTTGAATTTGGTTGGTCTTTTTACAATAAAGCTCAAGTGGGTCTTGATCGTGACGTCGGCGTGCGTACTTCAATTGCAAACTCGTTGCAAAATTTAACTTAATGCTTGATATTATATCAAAGGGATCTTCGGCACTATTAAGTCCAAGCTGCATTATTTTTCTGAAAATTCATCAACTATTCATTTAGGGCTTATAACTAACATAGTAAGTAACTCAAATTGGAAATTTGAAAAATATTTAGTAATATTTCGATAGGCTAAGTTAGGTTCTAGGGCAGATCCCAAACTTGTACAGAAACTGAAATTTATTAAAAATCTGTCTAGGCGTTTACGTCTAATCCAGCTAACTAACATACATACCATACATACATATACATTTATATATAATTCTTGCTTTCATCACATTAAACATAAGTCTCTGACAAATTTCTGAATTTTTTTATAACTAAAATAAGAAAAGCAATAGCAATTTCATGTTATTTATATTTAGGATTTTATGATCTTTACATTTTTTTCTTTTAGTTGCTTACATACAATAAGTAATTATAAAGCTTTTAATAAGCTCAATTTAGAGATTCGCAATCAAATATTTCATGAAAAAGAAGAAATGATTTATATCATTATAATAGTCTTTTAAGAACGCTCTTTAGACGTTAGTTGATAAACTTTAAATATTCGACTGGTTATATGCCTAAAAAATACACTATAACTTCAAAATCGTTGCCCATTGAGTAGAAAATCTGAATTTTTGAATTTTTTGAATATTACATGCTTGTGATTTTTACGAAAAAAAGTCATATATCGCAAAGCCATATATCACAAAATCAAATGAATCAGTTCGCCTGTATATGTATATGTGTAAAATTATGCACACCTCCTTTTCTCTCCAAAAAAGCTGCTCATTTGTTGGAATCATATGACTGGCATACAAACTGATCGACCAAAATCAAGCAAAAGATATTTTTATATCCTTTTATGCTATAAGAAATGTATGGTAAGGATTATAGCTTCAGTGTAGCCGAAGTTAGAATTTTTTCCTGTGTTCAACCGATTCTACCGATCTACCTAAATGGCTATGGGATTTTATGAGAATTTTCATCAAGGTAGAAATAAGCTTGCAGGTTTGTCATTGCTGATCCATCACAGTTAACACTGAAAAAAATTAATTTACATACATATATTATGCAAGCAGAATATTGCGAAGACAAAATAGTTGTTTATGAAAGAGTAATTCCCAAAAGCACATATATACATGTATATGTGTAGTATGTATGTATAAATAATGTGTTACCACACAGACTTAAATTGCAATGAAACTAGCTTGAGTTTAAAAATGCCTTGTAAATAATTTAATGTATTTACACACATATACATACATATATGCTTTGTTATATCTACATATGTATGTCTATACATACGAGTAGATACTTAACGCTCTTGACAACGAATTGGCTGGTAAACATTAATTGTTTTCCCCGTGGCCGAATTACGTCACCTTACTCATGCTTTGCGCTACTTGCAAGTATGCATGTGTGTAATTTAATTTTATTTGGAAACAGTTTTTTCTTCTTTTCTGCTGCGTCATCATAAAACGTAACGTCTTCAATAAAACGAGTTTACGAAACGCTTGCTTTGTTGGGGTACGCGTATTGGTGTGTTGGTGCTTCACCGTAAATTTTGTTTCACAAGAAATTGAGCAGATCATTACTTTGTGTATTTTGATATTAATTTTATATATAATAATAATAATAATAATAAATTGACAGCTACGCCTTTAACAGATGCTCCGCCGAAATTTTACGTAGTTTTGTGATATCAGTCGTGAGGATATGATGAATTTGCGGCTTTAAAGGTTTTTAACAGCTGCCAGCTGATGAAGAACTATTATGGGACTAAAATACAAATTTTGGGTTCAGAAATGCCTGCTCTTGTAGATATGTTATAGGTTGACACTTCTTTTTTCTAGTTCGTTTAGAATCTGCAATAACCGGCGAGTATAGTCAATATATTATATAAAGCAAATACAACTTGTGTTAACAGAAGAATGATGAATTTTCATGATTTTACACATAACTATGCACATGCATATACATGTGTGTTTGTATGGCATATGCATGCGTAATCTTGGGAATAATCATGGAAAACCCTAAGAGGATACAATTACAAAGTTTCGTTTTTACATTTTAAATAAATTAATTTTAAGATACAATTTATGGATCACTGTGAAAACCAACTCAGGTTAAAATTTATTGTTGTAAAATCTGCACATGCAATTCTTTTCTGGCTACCCCGAAAACCACAGACTAAACATACATACATACACTTGCATTGGTGGTTTCACTCTTTTTTTATGTTTTGCTCTTTCTACTCTGCCCAGCCTAGTCTTTTCGTCTGGTTTCTTGACATTGAGCCAACGACAAAGTGTGCGGAAGATCAGTTAATGTTATCGCGATGCTTTTCGTAAGACCCACCGTGTTCGGCTGAATGGCCGCTTGCACGTGCCACATATACGTCAATGTGTGTGCGATATCGCTGCAGTTCACATGTGAAATAAGGAGTTGGCATGTTCTGCTTAAAAACTTTAATTTTTTGTTTATTTTTACAAGCTACATACTTCAAGTACGTGTTTGCATTTCTGAGTGATTAAACTGTTGCGTCAAAAATTTATTGATTGTTTCTTGGTATTTTTAGCGTAGCAGCTGAACTATTTAAGGTTGAAATTTGCACAGCATGTATCAAGGGCCACTTCAATATTAAAGGATGGGGTTTTTACGCATATTTTCAAAAAATGTTTACTCGTTGGTTGATTGCATTTATTTAGTTTCATTTTTTATACCCTGAACAGGGTATATTAAGTTTGCCACGAAGTTTCTAACATCCAAAATGAAACGTCAGAGACCTTATAGAATATACTTACATACAATATAAATAAATGATCAGCGTGACGAGCTGAGTCGAGATATTTTCGTCTGTCTGTATATACGCGAACTAGTCTCTCAGTTTTTGAGATATCGTT